CCCGCGCACAGGAAGTGAGGTGGGGTTGTAGCTAAAACGCGGAAGTGGTGCGTGCATAGAGCCCAAGGCGTAGGTCTAAAAAAATACTACAAAAAAGTAAAACATTTAATTTTTCATAGTAAAAGGACTAATTCTCAATAATTAACAAAAAAATAACAATAAAAACTAAGCAAAGTTATAAATAGAACATGTATAATGTTCTACTAAGTAACCAAAAGCTAATCTAAAAAGTTGAGTCTTGAGTCTGCTTTTAATAATGTTCTCTGCGGCCCTGACTCTCACTCTCCTTCCTCCACATATTTCTTTTTTACATTGAATCAAACACGTCTAAATCATTCCAAATGTTCACTCTTTGCACAGAGACACACATTGATTTAAATGATTTTTTTCTTTCTTAGTCTGTATTTGTGGTACATATTTTTAGTGGTAGGGGAAACCGGAGCACCTGGAGGAAACCTACACAGACATGGGGAGAACATGCAAACTCCACACGGACAGGTCTGGAGGTGGAATCAAATATATGTGTGTGTTATTTGGACGGTCACTTACACAGACGATCACTATTTAAGAACAATCAAAGTTTTGCGGCTGGAGAAAGAGTTTTTCTGCATCAGGAGTCAGTACAAAAGACGGTTTTTTGTCGAGACTTTGTCGAAAGGAAACTGTTCCCTGCTGGCAATAGAAGCAACAAATGCAGCTGTAAGAGTTTTTCAGTTCTGTTGTGAGGAGAAAGGAAAAGTTTCTTTGTCCACGAATAATGTGTGTGTGGGATTACAAAAACACACTCACAAACGAGCGAGACTGGAGCTCTACATGTTCTGGATACAAGTCGGGAAACACACAAACAAAGAGTATCTAGTTTAGTTTATTGATTATAAAACAGGGACACTGTACGAAACCATTAGTCTCTACGAAAGAAGAGATGATTTGCACCAGATTTAGCTGCAGCTTAAGCATAGTCCCTGGGCAGGAGAACACACATAAACACATCACAATTCCAAAAACAAAATGACAGAGAATCAAATATTTCAAACTCAAAATATTGGTCCATACAGTGGCTGAGTGGATAGCATGCTTGCTTCTCAATAAAAAGGTCCTGGGTTACAATCCTGGTCCAGAATCAGGATACGTTTATTGCCATTAGCAGAAAAAACTACATTGGAATACAGGCAAGAGACTCTAGGGCAGTGGTCCCCAAACTACGGCCCGCGGGCCGGACCTGGCCCCCCTCTACATTTGCTCTGGCCCCCTGAACAATACCAGAGTATTTTCATATATGGGCTTGTTCACACTAAAGGGCACAAAAGTGTGACAAAAGGCCAAAAATTAGATTTTAATAATCCAAAGATATTTAAGGTTTTTCATGTTTCCAAATACCTCCTCTGTCCTTTAGAAGTTGCTAGAACATAACTGTTTTATACATTAGACAAGTTTCCTATAGTGGCCCTGTTTATTTTATGTAACGGACGATGATGATTTGACGGAATGAGCTGCGGAGGTTTGTTACGTATTTTTAGATGTTCACATTTGATTCAGAGATTATATATTTTTTGAACAGAAACAAAGTGATACTTTCACATAATCAACCAATTAACTCATTGACTGCCATTGACGTGTTTGTCTGAGACCGGTGATTTCTGTCAAACTTCCCTCTATTCGACTGCGGATTAAAGAAGAACAAAACTAGCAAGAAACACACTTATTTTTTGCTGATGAAAGTAGACAATCCAGTCTTTCAGAATCTGGTTTTGTATTTCACATAGACATAGCACACAATATTATGTGGGTCTTGAAAATCAGTGAAATCTTCAAAAATGGCTAGCAATCAATGAGTTAAATGTGAAACCAGACCAGATTTTTTTTTTCAAGTTTAATTGTTAGAGAAAAATGAACGGAAACCATCACGTCTGTTACACATTTTTCAACGGTCATTTATTTTTTTAACGATTCCTTTTTATAACAAGTGATTTCCTGATGTTGCGTTAACCATGTAAATCTTGTGGGATTTCATTTGCTGCTTTTTCAGACTGAGGACACTTTATTTTCTATGTCACTGAGTCACAGTAGAATGGTCCAATCAGAGGCTGATTTGGTCGTTTAAAATGTCGCCAAAAAATATTTGTCAATCTTTCCTTTTGATTTTATCCACACTATCTCTGATCTGTCTGAGCTTGAAATCTTTTTTCTAATCTATGATAGTAATTTTTGTTTTTGAGTTATAACCTTTTAAAGTCCAGATACTTTAATTGACACTTTACTGTGAACACACTCATATGTGTATTTGATAATAAAGTTGGACTTTTGCAATAAAAAGTACCTTTTTCATAATTAACTATTAGTTAGTAACTATTTCAACGCTGCAATCATTACACTTTTTCTGTTACAAACTGACCCGGCCCCCATCGAAGAAGGGAAAAGTTATGTGACCCTCACAGGAAAAAGTTTGGGGACCCCTGATCTAGGGGCACCAACACCACAAAGCACACAGACAGAAAGACACAGTGAGGCACATATAAAACTCTTACAAGCATTATTAAGAAACTATGGGGCCTTTAAAGGTTGCATGTTCTCCCCGTGTCTGCATACGTATCCTCAAGGTGCTCCGGTTTCCCCTACCACTAAAAATGTGTACAATAGTTGTGGGTGAGTGAGTGTGTGGTTGTGAGTGCAACTGTGGGGCGACGGATGGAAATTAGGGGTTGAAACCATTGTCCATAAATGTCCTGGATCATCCCCACCATTTTGTAAAATTTGCAACAATAATCTGGAGATCTGCTTTAAATCTTAACGGCTTGTTGAGCGGCCAACCGTGGAATCCTTGGGCCAACACACAACCAGCTTTAGACAATAAAACTCATTACATTGTGAGATTTCAAAACACTTTGAAGCAACTTTTGTTAAACTCATCATTCTACCAATGTGCAGAAGCCTGTACTTTTCCATTTGATGTTTTGTTTATCTGAAGGCCAAGCTACAAGCACACTGTGGCAGCTGCTGATTGGAGGTCTTTGTTTCTCCTGAGTATATTACCACTTGCTGTTGTAACATCCCTTGTTCGTGTGTCTACCATCAACAATAAAACATGTCTTCTGTCTGAATTAAAGACACGATCCCAGACTTTGTCATCTTCTTCAGGATCTCAATGCTTCAAAAACTCATAAACTCGGTACTTCACTCGGTACTCGGAATACTTAAAACTCATAAAACATGTTCAGATCTTTCATAAAACTCTTCAACAATCTTCAGTAAAATACCAAACTTCATCAGTCGATGGTGGTTCCAGATATTGCTTTGAAAACAGTCTCTCCCACTTCTCCTGTTGGTTTCTTCAGGCTGCATTTGTGTCGAGCCATGAATTCTTCTGTGACGTGTCTTTCAATCACACGTTTCAGCTTCAGTGTCCAGATTCAGCAATCCTATTCAGTCCAAATTATGTCCAAATTCAAAAATCCAGATGGTTCCAAATCATTTCCAAATTGTGTAATCCAATGGTTCCAAATGGTGTCCATGCAAAAGAGGACGATGGTATTGTCCATGTCTCAGCAGCTCACAGCCTGACTGGAATCAGGGGCTGTGCAGATTGTCCAAGTGTGCTGATCCAGATGCATGGTTTCTCTTGAGGAATTTCAGTTTTGGCTTGAAAAAAAACCCACATTTTTGTGTAAAAAAAAGAAAAAGTCTTCTGTTTTGTAGATGTTACAGACAATGCCCGCATCCTTCCACCACCTGAAGAAGATGACAAAGTCTGGGATCGTGTCTTTAATTCAGACAGAAGACATGTTTTATTGTCGATGGTAGACACACGAACAAGGGATGTTACGACAGCAAGTGGTAATATACTAAGGAGAAACAAAGACCTCCAATCAGCAGCTGCCACAGTGTGCTTGTAGCTTGGCCTTCAGATAAACAAAACATCAAGTGGAAAAGTACAGGCTTCTGCACATTGGTAGAATGATGAGTTTAACTTTAACAAAAGTTGCTTCAAAGTGTTATGAAATCTCTCAACATGTCAAATACAGCAAGAAAATCACTACATTTAACTTTATTTTTTTTTACCTTTTGAATGCGCTGGAAATGGCAGCATGTCCTAAGTAGCTCTGAAAAGTTGTTGTTTTGAGCTTTAAAGTTGTTATTTTTCTTGCTTTTTTGTACCTGAGATGTTGCTGCAGTACAGTTTTCATGGTTTTACACTGGTCCAGACCAAAAGGGAGAGGATTCATGGTATAGCCTCAGTGTTGAACTAAAATGATCTAAAAATATAATCAATTTTAAAAAGAAATATAAGGAAAAAAATGTCATGGAATATTTGAAAGAGTAATGTTAATTGTGTTTCTTTCATGTGTGCAGATGTGGTTGTGTTGTTTACATATAAACAGCTTACTCTGACCATGCTATGTTTAAGACCAAAGCATTTTCAATAACCACTCAGGCTGTGCTGAATTTTCTATTAAATACTTGCTGTTGGTCTGTCACTCGGTGTCCTGAAAAGGTTTTAGGAGCCAGTTCTGCAGGGGTAAGAAAAGTCCCCTCGGCGGTAATAACCAGCTATCACCAATCCATGCACCGCATCAATGTTACTGGTTACACGTAGTGCGTAAATGACGTGGTCTGGCTACCCCTCCCACACTGAAGAGGTACTATTTTTAATGGAAAAGCACCCGCACACGGCCGTGCCGTACCTAATCTACAAGTGTCAAAGAAAATACATTGGAAAGATTTGTTTATATATTTTTTATTACCATCACTCCACACAGAGATGGAGCGGGGTAAACAACAGGAGGCGCATGCCAGACCTATTGTACATGTGAACCCAGGACCTTCATACTGAGAAGCTGGAGTGTTAACCACTCAGCCTGTTGTACTGAGTTAGTTCATGAAGAAGTTTAGATGTTTTTATGTGTAATAAGTTTCGAGAGCAGAGCCTTGAGCGTCTTCAGAACTGTCACCTGCCTTGGTCACGTGTCACTCATCAGCTGATGTTACTTCCTGAGTGGGCGTGGTCAGCCGGATTGACTGACAGCTTGTTCTGACTGACCACGCCCCCTGACCACTGACCAAGCTTTGCATTCTCCGGACGTCTGATCGGTCTTCCAGAACTGATCCAACAGGGTGGACGCTCTCCTGCCTTGGAGCAGACATGTTATTACAGTCATATGTTCTTTACAGAGAACAAAGGTACAGACCACTCATGTGATGTCCGGTAATGTGCTCTAGATCGCTGGAATTCTTCCTGCAGTTCAGCACCTGTATCTGGCGGTGACACTTCCTGCCCGTTTGCCAAACGTTTCACTGTGAGAGCAAAAAAACGATGTGATGACAAAATGAATTCAAGAAAATAGACTTTGGTAACCTTCGTTACGGAAATATGTAAAATTATGTTAGAGTTAAGATTAAAACATCAGTAGACAATATGGAATTATGGAGTCTGTAGGACTGTGTCTGGAGGACTGTCTGTGTTGTGAATCATCAAAATAGTTGTAACTAACCGTCTCTGTTTGCCAAGAGTCTGGGAATGTACGATCCATTCCCTTGAGGGAGACGCCTTCTGGGAGCAGGTGGAGGACTTGGGGTCCAGGGCGGCAGTCTCCTCAGCTCCTCTGGGGTGTGGCTGTCGGGTCTGAGGCTGTCTGAGACAGAGCAGTGGGGAGCTGGTGGAGGACTTGGGCTCCAGGACAGTAGTCCCCTCAGCGCCTCTGGGAGGCGGCTGTCTACACTGAGACTCTCTGATGGACTGGGAGTGCCGTGAGGAGTCCGCGGTGACGATCTCAGCTCGTCCGAACAGCAGCTGCCGTACCATCACTGCGTTTGTGGAGGTAAAACATTCAAAGTGATTGTTTTTTCTATAGCAGACAATAGTAGTAGGTTAGCCATGTGATTACCTTGATGTTGGTAATGGTGGAGGGGCGAAGGGAGGTGTCCATGGGGAGGATCTGGACTGCTCTGAGATGCAGCTGTCTACAGATCTCTCACTCCTGTGCATCACTGCGTTGGCTCGAGCATGTTGTCGAGACAGCAGGTGATCGGCCTGACGAGTGACCCGAGCCATGTGCAGGTCCTGGGCCTTGTGCACCTCCATGACCCTGGCAGCCTGTGGACACAGTCACACAGTTAGTACAGAGGGACTGTGCAGTAGAGCAGTGGTTCACAACCTTTTTACAGAATACCTTATGCAGTTGACCCAATGATACATTTAGCGGTCGCAACGAGAGACAATGTGAAAAGGTTTTGGGGTTTATGAGTTATTTGTTTAAGGCACTAGATCTCAGCAAATGAAAAGTGGTGATGTCACCGTCTCTAAAGCCCGGGCGATCTTTATGAAATCTAGTTGTGTGTGTGCAGTGTTGAGGAGGAAATGTCCTACTTTACAGTATTTAGTTTCCTTTTCTTCTGGTGCTACTCAGAACACTGCTGCTTTCAAACGTCAAGTCACTTCTAGTCGTGTATGTGTGTGTTTTATCTTTTATTAGGAACAATATTGAAAAGTGCCAAAACAAAGTGCTTCTGACCCTGTGATGCATTTTTACAGTTTAGAATGATTCGATGTGCGGTGTGTTCAGGACACAGTGATGTCACACAACATTACAACACACATCTATGGCTGATATTCAGGATTCTGTCCCTAAATACATTTGCAAAGTGTTTCCCAAGTCGCCGGGAAACGTAAGACAGAAGATGCTTTAGTAATCAGAATATATTTGTTTGGCTCTGCTCTCTGCCCCCTCTGAACACCGAGCACTTACTACTGAACAACAAACCTGTGATTTATGTGAAAATGTGAAGGATTCTGCAGCAGAGACCAGTAAAGTGTTTTTTCTACCCACAAAACCTGGAGACGACTGCTCAACTTCAGAGGTCCACACTTCCTCTGTGGTTAATCTGACTTATTCCATCTCTTATTTACCATTACCCTCAGCTGTTCTGAAACGTACCATGTCCCTGACCCTAACCACGAGTCTGGTTTGACAAATGTTAGCACTTTACTGGATCATAAACTACCATCGCAGTAATGCAATCACTAATCATTTCACAAACACTATATATAACATAAAACAGATATGAATGTATTTGACGTCTCGGACCAAAACATCTAGGTGTGAAAGATGCAGTTACCTGGGCGTCGCGATAAGCGCTCATCAAGTCCCTTTCTTGGGAGAGAACCCGGTTCTGTAGCTCATTCCAGTCCATGTTAAACTGACAATAAGTTACTCTGACCTTTGCATTTGGTATGAAGACTTTGTGTGTCTGTTCGCTGAAGACTGACTGACTGACTGACTTGACTCACAGACTGTGGTGAACTTATGGAACTGTTGATGTCATTGCATGGTTACCATGGAATTCCAAGATTACCTCGTTCTGGAATGATAACCTTCCAGATGGTAACCTCTGCAATCACCATGACAACCTGCTATGTCCATATAAGGGCATCTAGAGACTGTTATGAAATATAAGCTGAATAAATACATTGACCTTGGACAGAACTGGACAAACACAGAACCTTCAGGATCAAACCTTTAACTTCACTGTCTCTGATCAGAGTCAGGGACATGTTCACTCGTCATGTACCAGTCACATCTTAATCTTCTTCAGCAGAAAACAAAATGGCACGTTTGGAGTTTGCAAAAAGGCATGTGGGAGACTCCCAAAATGTATGGAGGAAGGTGCTCTGGTCTGATGAGACTAAAATTGAACTTTTCGGCCATCAAGGAAAACGCTATGTCTGGCGCAAACCCAACACATCACATCACGCAAAGAACACCATCCCCACAGTGAAACATGGTGGTGGCAGCATCATGCTGTGGGGATGTTTTTCAGCAGCCGGGACTGGGAAACTGGTCAGAGTTGAGGGAAAGAAGACTAATACAGGGATCTTATTGTTCATGCCCCTAAAGCAAAAAAGAAAAAAAATAACACTTATTTGCGATGATGATGAGCGCTCAAAAAAAAAATAAATAGAAAATACAATCTACACACATTTGCTTATATACAATATACACACATTTAGTTTCCTCACAGTATAATTACTATTGTTATTATTCTCTTTTTTTTTCTAAATTGTTTTTTGAAATATGTATTGGTCAATGATTAACACACATTTTACTTTATTTTAACCTCTAATTCCAAATATTTTGTACATGCATATACACACACACACAAATATGCACACATCAAAGTATGTACACATACACACACCCACACACAGGCATGCACATATCAAAGTATGTACACTTTCACACACAGGCATGCACATATCAAAGTATGTACGCATACACACACACAGGCATGCACATATCAAAGTATGTACACATATGCACATAAATCTACATACAAATACATTCATATCCATACATATTCATCTACACATATCTATATTTGTCCATTAAGTATAAAGTATACATGCGTTTCATTTGGTCTATGGTGTGATGTGATTGAAGATCGTTGCCCAAACTGTTCCAGAGCCTGATTCCAGAAACAACAAAGCCTCTTTGTTTTAGTGACGTGCGGGTAAATGGTACACAAAAGTTTCCTTTCCTCCTGCTGTCTTCAGTAATTAAAATGAATTTCAAATGTGCTCAGGAACCAATTGATTTCTGATTTTCCACATGGCTAATATAGTTTTTAACTGAAAAAGATCTGAAAATTTTAAGGTGTTATTTTTAATGAAAAGATCATTGGTGTGGTCTCTTGGACCTTTGTGATTAATGATTCTTATTGCTTTCTTTTGGAGCAGGAAAACTTGATTTGTGAAACTTTTGCAAGCATTGCCCCAGACCTCAATACAATACAGAAAATATGGCACAATTATAAATGTATAAATCCTGAACAATGCTTTCTCATCAAATTATGTTTAACCTTGTATAAAATACCAATGGATTTACTATTTTATTATTTATATAGTTAATGTGACTTTTCCAATTAAGTTTATTGTCTAACTTGACACCCAAAAATTTTATTTCTGAAACATTTTCAATAGTTGTATTTCCGATAAATAATTTCTTTCTGTTCTGAATGTTTTCTAGTTCCAAAAATCATACATTTAGTTTTTTTCCAATTTAGATATAAATAATTGCTATCAAACCATGTTTTTAGTTGTGTCATTTCAACTTCTATGTCTGTTATTAATGCGTCTAAATCATTTCCAGCTTTGCAAACGGTGGTGTCATCTGCAAATAAAAGAAAGTCCATGTTTTTGGTAATTTCATGAATATCATTAATGAATAAAAAAAAAGTTTTGGCCCAATTATGGAACCTTGAGGAATCCCAGATATGATTGTTTTACAGTCAGAGTTACTGCCATTTATTTGAACATATTGCTGTCTGTTAGTTAGATAGCTTTCCAGCCATTTATGGATCTGGCCTCTTATGCCATAATTATTTAGTTTTGTTAACAATAGTTTATGATCCACCGTGTCAAAAGCTTTCTGTAAATCTAAAAAAATACTAACCAAGTATTGCTTTTTGTCAATAGCTGCCAATATTTCATCTGTTAGATGAATGAGTGCAAGAGAAGTTGATCTGTTTGATCTGAATCCGTACTGGTGTTCAAAAAGTAAATTATTTCTCTCTAAAAATGCATAAAATTTCTGTGTGAACCATTTTTCTATGATTTTGGAAAACTGAGATAATAATGACACTGGTCTGTAGTTATTTAATAAATGATTATCGCCATCTTTAAATAAGGGTATTATTTTAGCAGTTTTCATTTTCTGAGGGAAAATGCCAGTGCTGAAAGAAAGGTTGAAGATGTAGGTCAGAGGAGTGAGGACACAGTCGATGGTCTTCTTTACTATGATCATGTCCAGGCCGTCACAATCCACTGAGGTCTTATTATTGCATTTTTTAACAATGTTAAAGATGTCATTTTCTGTTATTGCATTGAGGTACATTGAGTGTAGAATTCTACTCCCTCCACTCTCTGACCTGCAGTTGGTAATAACTTGCTTGGGATTGTCTGAACTGCTTGCAATATCACGCTGCTTGCAACATCTCAAAGCCTGATGTAGACACTTTGTCTGATGCGTTTTTTTAAGTGTTTGATGCAGTTCTGTGACTCGGGTCGAACTCAAAAGAAAACACGACGACAAAGTCTGTGAAAAACACAGAACAGGAGTGCTCACCCTGCTCTGATCTTTCACAACAATAAACTGATTCACACCTGTTGTGGCTATACGTGTATTTCTTCAACGCAAAGAAATTGTATTAAATTTTTTGGAATTATTTTTAAAAATGCAAATATTATGTTTTTTTGGGGAAAGAAAATAGCCCAATATATAAACGCTATCAAAGGCCTGCAGACTCTGAGGAGCACAGGGCCCAGCCTCATGCTAGGACTGAGTAGCACAGGGCTTGGCTTCCTGCTGGGACTCTGAGAACCACAGGGATTTGTACATACCTGACGCAATTTACACAACCACCATTGCTTAACAAACGATACAATTCCTTTGATGTTTTGAACCCCTTTGAAGATGCTAGTACCACTGCTAATCACTGCTAATCTCAGGGCCATTACACGACTTTACAAACACATGTGAAACGTGTCTCTCTAAAGCAAAAAGCAAACACCAGACAAATTAGTTACAACAGAAAGCCCATCCAGGAGCGATTCTTTCATTTCAAGCCGATCCGAGCATGGACAAAAAGCTACGTTATTTATGAGACAAATTAACCGCAGTTCATTTAGCCAACAGCGCGGCAGTTAGTCACAACAAAAGCCTTCACTAATGAATTTAATTAAAGCAAAACAAACAGAGATGTGTCCCCAGTCGGCGCTGCTGTCTGCTCTCTCTCTCTGGATAGGTGCGTTTGACATTTACTCATAAACTGGATAAAAGCTATCTTTTAACCTCTCTGCTGAGAGCGGGGTTACACTCACAGTTACTTCAGACGTGTAAAAGGATAATCTGCTGTTTGTAGGAAAAAAGTAAACAATTCAATATACTTTGTAAATGTCATGAATGGGCCTTAGTTAAATAGATAGAAGGAAAGAGAGACATAGCCTGGCCTTAGCCATCCGTACACTCCGTTCAATCATCATTTCACTGCATGTAACGTCTGGCGCTAGTCCCTATGTTAGCGATTACAATCGGTTGAATTTCGACCGACCATTCAGAGAGCGCGGAAGGATGGTGTTGTAGTTAGTTGTGGGTGATGTCAAGAGTTTGCGTTGAAAGGGCAGGTTGTTGTTTGGCAATGGCGAAAAATGCGATGGTAAAGTAATCTGGTCTGGTTCTATCAAGAAATTGAAGCGGGAGCAAGGGTAATGTTTAGCAAATGTAATCGCTGGAAAAAAATGTGGCGCTACTCCCCACGGGCTCTGTTAGCGGCAGAGGAGATGGCTAGGCTAAATGCTAAATGCTAACAACACACTCGGGCACATTACATACGTCACGGTAAACTCAGATCCAATCGTTTCAATCTGCAAAAGGATGTAGGTAGTTTGATTTATTTCAAACCTGCAGAAGACAATGGCACATATCTTTACGTTAACACAGGAGGATAAAGCAGACACCTCTATCACCATTCAACACAAATATACCCAGAAAACAAACAAATCATCATCCAGAATACAATTTTGATACTCTGCGGTTCATACAGTAATACACAATAGCCTTCTATGGGGTGTTAGATACACAAAACACCCAAACACACACACCTGCCAAACACTCTCTGACCCTACCCCTCTCTCCCATCAACTGCTCTGTGCTGAGGGCATCACTCTCTATACTCCATGTACTTCTTCAGCACCTTTTAAATTGTTACAGCTTTCTTACTATGTGGGTGAAGTGTCTTGCCTTATAGCCTGGTCGTACCACACCATATTACAAATTACATTTCATACTAAGGTCTGGATTTGCTCCATTGAGCTCCGTGAACAGGTGGGAGGGGTTAACTCCTTTTGCAGATTGAAACAATTGGATCTGACTTTACCGTGACGTATGTAATGCATCGGAGTGAGTCGTTAGCATTTAGCCTAGCCATGTCCTTTGCTGCTAACGGAGCCCGTGGGGAGTAGCGCCACAATTTCTGCCAGCAATTACATTTGTTAAACACTCCTCTTGCTCCGGCTTCAATTTCTTGATTGAACCAGACCTGATTACTTTACTATTGCATTTTTCACCATTGTCAAACTACAACCTGCCCGTTCGACGCAAACTCTTGACGTCACCCACATCTGACTACAACACTTT